ATTGGGTTGTGACGTGCCGGTGTCCGATTTCATCTTCGCCAATTCAGCTTCTAATTCAAGAATGCGCTGCTGGCTGGCCACGTCCGCGGAGGGTTGAGCTGGAAGCCAAGATTGGAGCAGCTGGGCGACTTCTTTGGCCATGTTCTGGGTAGCTTCCTTTTGGTTCACACATTGGCCAGCCGAACGTGATCTGAAAGTAGCCAACTTGTCCAAGTCCACATTCCGGGTGCGTAGTTGCGAGACCAATTCGGCGACAAATACTGTGGTGCCTATGTTGTCAAATGGAAGGACGAAGGTTTCTCTTCCGTAGGCAACACGGCGAAGCCATGTGTTGTGTAAGCCTTGGTACAAGAACTTCCAGAGTGGGACTTGCAAAGGATCCATACCTTCAATGTCTTTGTAGCTGGAAAATCGGCTTTGGCGGATCCTGGAAGGGAAATCCAACCCATTGATCTTGTTGGAGTCATGGAAGTCAACGTCAGGTTTCCATTGGTCAACCAGTGGGATTTCAATGGGGCGACAGGTGTAGCCTTCATTGATGGCAGAGCTTCCTCCAGGGGATGACATAGGTCTCGGCGATCTCGGGGCAAGAGGATGTCGTTGAGGTGTGAGATTGGCGTGGTTGAGAGGTTGTTGAGAGAGCGTCGGCGGTGTAGGTGGGAAAGGTGGTGTGGGCTGAGTCCATGTTGGGCGTGATGAGAACGATGTGGACGTCGGTGGTGGAGGAGGTATGCCAGCAGGATGCCAAAAAGGACGAGGGGTCGTCATTGCAAAGTGCATCGGTCCGCGAAACGTAGGTACTGTCTGGTGCCAGCCATGTTGAGGTCGATGGGGTGTGCGCGAACGATCAGGTTGTGAAGCAGGGATAGCATTCGTGTCTTGGCTAAACTGAGAGATCAGGTCTTGGGACGCCATGATGTAGAAAAAAGCCACGGAATAATAGGTCGCAATAATCGCAATAAGCCAACTGAAATCTGCGGTAGGGGTGAGAAGGTGATACCGAGAGGCCGCACGGCCTGAAATGTGTGAAACATGATATGACATGACCAGGTTTGTGTGAAACAGCAGGTGAAACCGAAACGGAGACGGTGTGCAGGCAGCAGGTCATATACGTTTTGACGGAAGAAGTGGCATCAAATACCGAATGTCGGGAGAAGCATTGTTACTCCAAAAGAATCGGTCGGGGCCACTAGGCTCACTGGGTCGCTTTCTTGGGGTACTCGTCAGATTGCAAGGTACTCCGCAGTGATGTAGTGCTTACCAGCGAGATCTGGAGGAGTTGTATGCCGAAGTGCGGGATCGAGTATAGCCTTCGCGATGATGGTCTCGAGAGTGACCTTCACGGTAGGATGAACGACGGTCTCGATGGGTGTACGTTGAGTCGTCCCAAGATTGGTTGTTGTTCCAATGCCTGCGGTCATGATCTGGAGCTGCGTGGTCGGTGGTCTCGTGGTGGGCGGTTGTCGCTGTGGAGTCGGTTGGTGGTGGGTTTGAAGGTGCAGGTAAATCAGTGGCCGGGTTGGGTCGTGCTTGTGGTTCACGATCAGCTGGTGGGTTGTCCGGAAGTTCACTTGGTGCTGCAACTATAGGTGGACGTGTGTCCGGTGCCGTGTGTGTGATCAACCCAGGGAAAACCGAATGAGTAGAGGCAACGTAACATATTGATGCAGCACTAGAGTTCATAGCCGTTGCATTGTCTTTGCCCTTGGCAATCCCTTGTAAGTTGCACAAGCGTTGAATTTGGTCATTTCCTCCAGATAGGGCTCGCATGCATTTTGGGGAGCGACAAATGGCCAAAAGGCCTGATGGGTTTTGTCCTTTGCCAATTTTGTAGAGCTGGGATGTGCATAACTTGACTGCATATCCTGGTAGGTCATCGATGTCAGCGATCTCAGAGGACATGCCGAAGAATCCGTAACATGGGTATTGAGTCGGATAGCCAGCTTCGTTTTTTGTCCAAGTTGCCGGGCGAATGCAGTCTTCAGCAAGGATTTTGGCAACTGATTCCCAACTCGTTTTGTGATAAATCAGGTAAGTGCCCGCGTGTTCACTACGATAGATCGGTTTCTTGGGCAATCCCGTTGGCACCGTGATGGTCAGCAGGTTCTCCGGTTCCACATAAAAGGCCCGTGTTCTCCTTGCCAACTCGATGTCAAGTAATCTGGATTGAGCGAAGGCCTTGGCAATGTTGATGACGGTGGCTTGGCTTGCTTTGATGAATATATAAGTTCATTGTTGGTAGTACGATGTGGCTGGGCCAACTGGTTGAACATCTCATCCACGAAGTTGTTGAAGAGGAGTTTGTCGGGCTGATTCAGTGTAGTGCGGAGAGGTACTGTGTGACTTGGGTCCAGCTCGGTCAGGCATCGTACACGGTGTGGATCATTGGCCGCTTCCACAAGTTCACTGAGTTCGATGTCATTTTTGTCGAATTGGGAAATTGAGAAAGCCTCCGCTGCATCTGAGGTTTCACTGTCACCGTCCGGTACACGGAAGGCCACGGCTCCAAGTGGTGCTGTTGTTTCTGCTGGTGGATTTGATGGTGGATCAGGTGGTGGTGGTCCCACAGGGGATCTGGGTCGAGCGGTGCCGCGATGGTGGTCTGCAGAATAGTGGCTGTTGTTCCAATCGCCCCAAGAGTCATCAGCATCAGGTGTAGGAATGAAGCTTGGATTGGACGGACGTGCGGCTGGTCGTAAGATTGCACGGCCACGGGAATGGCGACGAGGAGTTCTGGAGCGAGGTGGAGGATGAGACCGATGACGTCGATGATCTGCTGGTGAGCGTCGTCTGGGTGGTGATCGTCGTCTGTAAGGGGAAGGTGTTCGGCGACCTTTGTCATGTTTGGTCGAGGAGCGATGTCGAGGAAGAGGAGAACGAGGCGCACGATGAAGGGAAGGTGGTCGGTGATGGGAATGTGTAGATGGTCGACGGGAGCGTGATCTTCGAGTCCTGGATCGTGGTCGGCGTGATGGCGATGTTGGTGGATGTGGGATGGCAACTGGCGGAGTCGAAACCGTGTTGAGATTCGGAGCCTCAGGTTCAATAGGTCTGGCTTTGGGTGCAGGTGGAAGCATTGGTGTAGGTGGTGTCGGTGTCGGCGATGGTGACGGTAGGGTAGGACCAGTTGTGGGGAAATTCTGGTGAAGGAGTTGTTGTCGTTGTTCCTGAGCGCGTTGGGGGTCAAGGATCATCTGTTGTTGAGCTTGAATAAGACGAACCGATTCTGCAAGTTGTTGTGTAGTGGAGCCCAGCGCTGCCAGCTCCGGTGAGATGGGCGGTGAAGGTGCTGTCGTTGGTTCTGGCGGTGTGGCAGGAAGTGAAGCCGGTGTAGCTTTTGGAGTTGAACGGCGTAGTTTGTCAGGGGCGGCCTTGACTGCAGGATGTCGAAGTTCGGCTGGAGGAACTGTAGCTGTAGCTGCCAGTGGTGGAGAATGAAGAGTACGAGGTGGGTACGGTGAGCTCTGTAGAGGTGTAGGTGGTGTAGTCGATGCGTGAGATGGAGCTGGAGCAGTATGCCATGTAGTTGGAACAGTTGGTGCCGTGGGGGTAGTGAAGGCCGGTGGAGCGGTGTGCACAATGGTGGTGTCAGGAACCAAAGGTGTAGTCGTCGTAGGCACAAGGTGTGGAGCTGGTACTGCATGAGGGGCTGTAGCCAGTGACGCGAACGACAATGATGGTGTGGTTGAAGCAGGCGTCATGAGTGAGGACGAAGAAGACCATGTAGGATGCAATGGCGAAGGTTGTCCAAACAAATGTGCGATCGGCGTTGATGGTGGCCACGTCGAAGAAGCAGTCGGAGGCTGCGGTGGAGTGGGCCAAGACGTCGGAGGAGTAGTCCACGGATACATAGCTCAAGTAAAAGGATGAAAATTCACACACAGGACTCAGTTCCTAGACCTAGAATTCGTGCGATTGTGCCACAACAGGCCCGTGTTCAAGTCAGCCACAAGGGCATAAAACAGCTGCCAAGTTCCAACGAATTAGATGCACAATATGTTTGACCTCACCAGACAACCAAAAAGAAAAAAGACCACACCTGAAGGACGTGTGCCTGCCTTTTCACAATGACTTGACATGATGTCGTGTAACTGCAAAGGTTGCTGCAAAAACGGAGGTTTGTGGTTGTTCAGTACGGCTTCCCAAGGAAGAATGCACCTCTCAAGGTTCAGATGGGACCGCAGGAACAGCGGGACAACCCTAAAAAAGCTGGAAAACGGTAAGGCCGGCTGTTGCAATTTACTTAGATGAATTACCAAATTAAAATGTGTTAATTCGGAAGTCAGGACAGTCATCATTCACCCTGAAAAGGGTTGCCTCCAATGGCTCCATGGCACCATGTCGGAGTCACCATGGAAATCACACTAGGCAAGAATGGATCATTATATGATCCGGCAGGAACTGAATCCTGAAACATGCAGATTAGATACGAAACAATGAAATTAACGATGCATCCTACGAATAATAGAAGTATTTCTGAATGGTCTTCGTGTTCAGAATCGACATCAAAAAGAATAAATAAACCAGCAATAATATCATCGGCGATGTCTCGGTGAAGATTAGCCAATAAATACTGTCGGCGACGATGTTGTCGGCGATCATGTAAACGGGTTGTTACAAGTATGCTTTCTACGTCCTTGCTCAGAGGAAGGTTCTGATGCAGCGAAACAAATCGTAAATGACCAAAATTGATTCCAGATTGCGACAACAGACAACAGTGCAGCAACAAGACAGCTTGTTCAACAGTTCAAACCAAATTCTGCAGGTACACAGAGTTGATCAGACTCTGCTTCCAGCACAAGTGGATAGCTTCGTTGGGTGCAGTCTCCACTGTGCTCTGCACCCCCCTGCAAATAAAGCAACATTCAATAAGAAGTTTTACATCTGTTCAGATGTTACACACACACACATGACACATGACATATGTTTCCTCAGAAAAATGGCCGGGTGTTTGGTGACCCATTTGCTCAGCATTTCCCGCAGTTTCCCGCAGTCTCCGCCTTCCTTTCCTTGTCCTTGATCCGGTTGAAGTCCAGGATCCTGAGGTATTCATTGACAGGTATGATGGGTGATGGGGTGATGGGAAAAAACTGGGAACTAGGTGTATATCTATATGTCAATGTATATAAGATCTCAAGCAGCGCTCCATTTCTCTGCTGAATGCACACTGCGTGGGTTTTGTACACAGCTTTCTGCTTCGGTTGAGACATCTGTTGATATCAGAAGCTGAAAGTGATCTGACCCATTTGGAAGGACTGCGAGATGGGATGGGCCAAGACCCGGGTGGGTTTACTTGAGCAGCAGATACAAGGATGCAGCATTCGAACTTATTCATTCAAGATCTCAAGCAGCGCTCCATTTCTCTGCTGAATGCACACTGCGTGGGTTTTGTACACAGCTTTCTGCTTCGGTTGAGACATCTGTTGATATCAGAAGCTGAAAGTGATCTGACCCAAAATTCCCATCATTTCCTTGTAACTGGTCCATTCCAAATGAGGAACCAAACTGACGTAGGGATATTCGCATTCCAAAATTGTTCCGCACTTTGTAGCGCCGTCAGAAAAAATTCACAAAGCGTAAAGATCTTAAGTTGAGCAGCCGCAGGCAGAATTGCTAGGAACTGAAATGACGAAATCTCCTGAAGATAAATCTCCATAATTTTCTGGCTAATCCATCGTCCTCGGCGACGGACGAACTCACCATTCTCAGTTTGTTGAATCATCCATGTTGCCCCGCCAGGGCGAAGTGATCCTAAATCAAGGGTCTTTCCATTCAAAGTGATCTCCGGCCGTAAACCAAGTTCATTCATGACCTGCTTGAAACGTAGGCGCAGAGTCTGTCCAGATTTTGACCAGAGTCTCTGAGTGGGATGAAGTCTCGCGAAGGCAATGTGAGCTACTCTTAACAAATCAGGAATATCCAATTTTGCTGACTGGTGTCGCGCCGCCGTGAACCTTGTTTTAGGTTCCTTTAGAGCTAGGAGTGCAAATTGGTTGGTGTAGTTCGTGTCGACTGGCAAAAGTAAATCACGCCTCGTAGCAAGAAGAAACTCACCAGCTCGAAGTAAAGATCCCCATGAGAGCGCAAACATGCCAGCAACATCAACCCAGCCCCAAACCAAACAAATTGAAATAGCGGAAAGCAATATTTGCCAGGGCATAGCTACATGATGTATGGATGGTTCTTCACGGACCCACGAGTAGGCCAAATTCCATGCCTCTTGTAACTGACGCCTCACCACAGGTTTTCTTGCTGCTACCGCATTTATAGTTTCAGCGTAATGGTTGTAAGGACGCCCGGCAGTATACAGGGCTCGACCAAATTGCACCAGCATCTTGTTAATCATGTCAATCTGGGTGTAATGGTTCTCCAACAGAAAATCCAGCGAATATCCCAAAGATCCAAGCCAGGCTTCGAAAAGTGTTATGTAGGAACTCCTTTGTTTAGTAGTAACTGAAAGCACAGGGCGACCCTCTTGTAAAGGAGGCCTCACGCTCCTCTGTTGTTGCCTCAGTATATCCCCAGAATTTCTGGGAAGCAGCACAGCGCCGATAAGCCATGGCTGAAAGGCTACCACTAAAACTAAAAACCGAGGGAGGACACAGTTGCCAACGAAACCCGACAAAGGACCTTCACCGGGAAAGCCAAGGGTAGAGTCGAAGTCCAAACCCTGAAAACCGGACCCAACATGTCCAAGATTGACATCGACAGATGAGAAACCAAATGGATAGCGAGGTGCTCGGTAAAGAGAGCGATCAGCGAAAGCCAAGACCCGAGGACCGAAAATCCTCAAAGCTAACCTGACCCAATTGGAATAGGCACGCTTCAAACGACAAGAGCAAGCCAAACGGAAAAGGTCAGAGCGATCCCAGGTGGTCAAATCAAGACCTGGGATTGGTTCGCGCAGAGGGACATCACGTGTAGGGTCATCGGCTGGATTCAGCCTAGTTGGCACAAAACCAAACACTAAGTAGAGTCCACCAGCGACAGCTAAGGCAGCCAGCCGCACAAGAAACCTTGACAAAGCCCGCGAAGATGATCTGCCCTTTGAAGCAGCACACTTGATGACATTTGAATCCACTAGGACCACAACACGCAGAGCTTTGCCAGCTCTAACCAGGCGATTTACAAGCTTAAGGACAGAGGACAACTCCAAGACGTTGATATGAGCAGAGATACGGAAAGTCCAAACAGAGTCCAAAGACCATTTGAAAGATAAGCTCAGCTCATTGATAAGTTGGTTCTCAAGACCGCAGTGCCCCTTTTCATCCAAGCTTGTTTCGGCAACCAGACGACGAATGCCCCTTGCCATGACGTCAGCGAGGGCCTGTGACAGGCCCTCGACGTAGGTAGCTGACCTTTTAGTAAGGGACCCTTCAACTTGAACATGTTCATGGTCACCTGAGCACCTCCCTGAAATAGGTCCAACGTCAGCCCAGGCACAGAGAAATGCAAAAGCTTTCAAATGAACTGAACCATAGCTGCAAGAATCGCATCTTACCAACTCACACCCCCTCTGTGCCAAAAGGATCGACCACCCTGGAAGAAACTTCATGAGCGACGGCCAGGGATTTTCAAGGACCCCTGTAACACCATAGACCAAGCAAGCAAACAACAGCTGAAACGCTCGGTAGGCCAGCAGAGTTCCCATTTTCGTCTGGGGGTCATCAGGATTAAATCCAAAGGGAACATGACGTGACCTAAGGGCAGGTCGGCGCATGATGCTATGGGTCGTGCATGGGGGTTCAATCATGACCGCCTTAACCAGCTAGTTAACAATCAGGTATTGCAGCCAATCGAGAACATGTAGCTTTGACATGTCAAGCTCGGGGTCGAAAGAGATGTCAGTAGGGTTACATACAGAAAAACCTCTATTGGCCATCTGTTGGGTGACTGTGGCCGCACCAGCAAAAACTTCCACAAAGTCAAATCTGTAGGCTAAGGGCCGTTTGACATTTTCAGGCCTCTGGGGTTCTTCTTCCTCAAATTCCATGCACCTGGCTAAAATGGACTGCTCCTTCGAGAGCATTTTTGAGTAGCCCCCTTTTGACCTACAACTCCTCCATAGGGTCTGCATAACGTCCCGGTCAACGTGGCAAGACACAATTGCCCCTTTCTGTAAGGATGCGTCAGTGGCGAAAAGATTATCACAAAAATCCACAGCAATGTCAGACACACACAAAGGCGAGAGGACACTAATCAAGGTTAGCTCATTTGCCACTTGCCTCGGAAGTCCAACAAGCTGCGGTTTTGAGGCATCGAAACTGTTGACATCAACTAAAGAAAAGGCTTTCTGAAGGACTGACATGAATGGGCGCCTAAACATCATCACAGACGTCCAACCACCTAACAGGCAGAGATGCAGCGAGTCTGATGTATATTGCAGTTGGCAAACTTGCAAGGTCACCCAGGACAAAGACATACGTTTTTCAGCCGGCGCAGCAACAAGCACATGGCCCCTACCCCGGCATTTTTCAGATGCATCAATTGAAGCACCAATGATTTTTGCTTTATCCAGGCCAGTCACATCTTTATCATCTGAACCGAGAATTGCATGCTTTTCATACAAGGCTTTACTCTTGGTCAGGCAGTCGATAGCCTTGTTTTGGCAAGCGGTACCTAAGGGAAGTTTGGCAATAGCGAAATAATCGTCAATGACTAAACCTTGGCACAGCGCATCTCCAAAGAAAGGCCTGCTTGACACAAGCCTCGTGTCTTCGTCCAAAAGTCCAGCTGATTTAAGTAAGCCTTCATGGGCACTAGTTGCGATCTCAACACCTGCATGGTCACCCTGGAATATGCTCTTAAAACTTGCCATACAGAAGCCCTCAGGACACCTCGGAAACTGCTGTCTTTCCGAAAGACCTAGCTTGTCACCCCCCTCCAGTCGCGAGGGTTTACGGCACCTAGAGGCTGCAACAAAAGCTTCATGGGCGGTCGTGTCCCTCAACAGGCTTAAGGGCAATCTGGGTCCTACGGTGTTAGATAGGGTCCTATTAACCGAGGTGGCAAATTGATGATAGAAATCCCTCCTATCAGTGCAGATTATGGAAAGGGTATGACTATGAGGATTAAGTTGCAAATCCAAAAGGCAGGCACCGGTGGGCAGGTTCTTGGAAGGTCCAGTGACACGTCTCTCGACCGAATTCCTACCTCTGCGGTCTCCTATTTGCCGATCCACATCCACAGACTTGAGGCAGTTAAAGACCCGAACCAGCTCAAAACGTCTGGATTGGAAAATGTCAACATCATGAATATGCAGCAAACCTCGAACGTCCCATACTTTGGCCAAGGCTAAGACCTCCTTCTCCGGATCGCATCTTTGAGGATAATCACAAGGCTGAGGCAGGTTGCGATACAGGAGCGAATCAGGATATCGGTAGGCCATACACAACTCAGGGTCAAGGTAGGCAGTGGCATCGAAATGGCCAGATCCAACAACCTTAAGACGGCTAGCTTCCAAAGATTTGTAGGGGACAAGTTCAGGGAATAGGCTGTTATCAAGAGGCACAGAGTGACCTGGATATACCTTCTCATAGGGTCCGGCACCAACGCCAAGTTTTGTGACCACGTCAGAAAGTTCAGACAAACGAGCTACAAGTTGGTGAAAACGCCGACCACTTCTGAGGACATCCACAGCCTCAGAAGGGCCGTCAGCCAGCATAAGGCTAGCTAGCCGATGCAAGATTCTGCTTTGGCTAGCACTAGGAGCCCTCTCCAGATGTTCCAAGGGTATGAAACAGTTGCCACTCCACCAGAAGTTTAGTGCCATGGTTACCACATGCAGAGCACGTCGAAAATTGACACGCCTTCTTTTAGTTGATGACAAACCTGGAGGCATCTTTGCGAAGATTCCTGGGTATGGAATTGGCAAAGGGAAAGCTGACGATACCGAAGACACACCGCTCCGGGACAGGTGCAAAGTAGCTCGGAGAAAAGCAGAAAAGGGGGAACGAGTGCGAAGCACAGTCACTGTCAAAAGTGAACACCACTTATGAAAGGTCAAGGAGTCCACAACAGGGCCAAGTTGAATTCCATGGGCATCTACTCCGGGCGAAAATCCACAAGCTTTACATGTTTTATCCACCCCAAGCCTATGCCTACATTTTGGGCAATCACTAAAATCCCCAATTAAAAATCCACCACCTATTAATTTAGAAGGAGGGCTAGTTTTCCCTCCTTTGGCATGCAGCATGCTTTCATCCTTCAGGCCTCGGGGGCCTTTGCCTTCGGCTTCTTTGGAAACCTGGGTTTTCTCCGGGGAGAGGACTCTCCTTCCGGTTCTGGGCTCACAGGCATCGGCGCAGCAGGTGAAGGTTTTCCAGCCTTCTTCGCAGTCTCCGTTTTTCGGGTTGCAAGTACTTCCAAGTCCTTCAGATACGACAAAACTACTGCTGTCCACTGAGGCGGAACCAATGGGCCGAAGGGCTTGCTGTGGTGCACCACATTGGTCGATCTCTCCTGAAAAACCTGCAATGGTGGTTCCTCGAGTAGCGTAAGAAGAAACGCCAGCGTCCAGTCTCCTTTGTCTGTCACTGCTTGTTCCACAGCCACCAATAGGAGTGCCAGGATCTCCTTTGTCATTCGGAAATCCCCCGATGAGGCAGCGTCGACTGCATGTCACAGGATCCAAGCCACCAGCCCTAACTCGCGATGGCTCCGATAACCACCCTGCCTCTCGAGATATGTCAACACTGATATCCCTTGCAGGTCTGTCTCCGCCTGGGGAACCGGCTTCGATGGTTGGAGCCTCCTGTGCAACTGCTGAAGCATCTGCAAGAAGTAAGTGCTGGTCCCCTGCGCTAAGTCGTTCTGCATCTTTTCTCGCCGCTGAACGCCTTTGGTAGTACCATGCGTTTGGCTGCCAGTAGCGAAATCCCCAAGTACATCCCCTGATTGAGAAGCAAGGTGTGCTACCAGCTGCGTGATCGCAGTACTTTGCTGAGCTATTGCTGCAACTATGCCACCTGATGCTTCGCCCTCTGGTTGTAACGCATCGTATGGCTCGTCTGCAATGGCATCTGTCGCACCAGGCAGAGGGGAGACATTCCTCACCTTCGGAGGAGGTCCAACAAGGGCCAAGGCCTTGGCAACCCCTGTAGTTGAGGTCAATCCTGCAGCTTGAAGGCCCCCTGAAACAGGAGGCAGCTTGTTTGTAGGGCCAACAAAAAGACCTGGAGCATTTGCGGCAGAGGAAGCGGCTCCTTTCTCTAATGCTTCTTGTCGCTGAGCGAGCAGCTGCATTTGGGCCGCTAATGCCGTAAGCTGATCTGCGATCATGTTGTTGGTAATCCTCTTTGCCTGAGTCGCCTTTTTGGCGGGCGATGTTCGAGCGGTCACAGGTGCTTTTGGGTCTGTAGGCAGGTCTTCTTGAGCTGTATAAAAACCCAAAACATCTTCACTTCGGGATACAATCCATTCGCGCACATTGGGCATTAGATGGCTGCAATCCGGCAAACTGGTGGGATGATCAAAGGAAAACCCAAGGATATTTGCCATGTGATCAGTGACAGGATCGTATTCACGAGCAGACAACAAAATGTCGTCAGTCACATCGACAACAAGCACTTGTGCATCGTAGCCAAGCGCAACAGTGGTGGTGAGATCCTCTGATTCTTCGATCAGGGGTGTGGTGAAAACTGAATTAGGGCCAACCATGGTCTCATCTGAACCTAACTGACCATCTGCAATGATATGAGGCCGAAAAGTGTCATGGGGAACAGCTATCAGCATGCCACCAGAGCGGAAATCCAAGGGCAAGGCAAAAACATCCAGGTCATTTTCCGTAGCTGATAAAGCAGCAGGAATTGTGCAAACCAGCAATGATGGATCACCCTTGCTTGCTGGTCTCAACCTCTCCTTATTCAACATGGTTCAAACAATGGCGGGACTGCCAATCTGGCCCCTTGGCAAAACACTTCCAACTCCGTCAGGGTATCAAAACCGTATGCAACAAGACCACTCCTAAAAGCCGTAATCTGATCACGGAAGAGCTCAAAGTGAACCTCTGATGCAAACCTGACGTAACCACCCAGACCACACGCACGAAGCACAATGTAGTGGGAGAAAGGCTGAGAAGGATCAGACACAAAAGCTGGCGCAGTGAAAGTCTCGATAGCAGCACGAGCCCAAAAACCAGAGGCAAACGCAATGTGCACACGTTGTAAAGCCTCAGTTGAGTTCCCGGACACAAACTCACTCTGGTCCTCCACAAGGCGTGGCACAGGTCCAGGCCCTTCCTCGATGGAAGAAAAGGGGCGTCCAACAAAGTCTGGTCCAGCTTCTTCCACCACCTTCCAAAGCTGGGCAATGGGAGGAATCGCAGGAAAGACAGTGAGTGGCCTAAGTGGTCCTGCAGCAACGGCTCTAGCTCGAGGGTCACCTCTGCGGTAACCTTGCTCAGACGGCTGACTTGACTGAGTCTGTTCAGAGTGCCTTTGGTAAGCTTCGATCTGTTCTAACTGAGAGATAAGTCCACGAATCTCAGCTGATGAGAAGGGGAAGCTCATTCAAGGTACCTAGCAAGGCGAGGTCGAGGTCCAGGGACACCCACAGTAGGATAGATCAAACGCACTACCTCACCACGGAAAGTCCAAACCAGGCACAGAAATACAACCAGGAGCACACCTCCAAACAATCCAACAAACAGTCCAAGAAACAGCCAAGGCAGGCACGAGCCACCGCAATGAAAGGGACAGCTGGCAAGTCTCGAGACTTCGTTGACAACTGTTAACCAACCCCACACTCTATCTAAACCTCCTATCATTTACTTGAGCAGCAGATACAAGGATGCAGCATTCGAACTTATTCATTCACACTGTATATATGAATATGGGATATCATGAAGAAAATCTAATGGTTGCTTGGTTTAACTGGGATGATTTAACCGGTTTATCTAAGGTTGATATGCCCATTGTATCCTACTTTTCATGGTTGATGTGGGTAAAACAATGCCATAAACCATCCCCCAGTCATCACCATTTTATAGGTGGTAGAAACTTACCAGTCCCAGTCATGGGTGGTTTATGACATTGCTTTACTCACATTAATCCTGCACTTGTCATGGCTGCTTTATGCTTTCTTTTCTGGGATGGTAGTAATAATTTAATATCATATGTTTATCATGTGTTTATCCCATTCCGGAGGGTTCACGACGGGCTCCTTAAAATTCATGCCGAACCCTGGCTGTTTCTGGCGGAGAAAACCGCACAGAACTGTCCTCAAGGTTTTGGAACTCTTGTGGATCATATAGGGCCGAAAGTGCTTCACCTGTCGACAGTCGATCAAAGCAATTCAAGACACATTGGGGACCCCTTTTCTCTAGCTGGTTAGTTAGTATATATAGCAACCCTACAAAAGATGGAAAAGTAAAACCTACCTAAACAGTGATGTCTTACTTTTGCAATATCTTTGGGTGGTACTATATATATATATATAATATCATGTATTGCTATCTATATACCATTATATACCCATTTACTGCAAGACATTGAATTAGTACAGTACTCATCCAGGGTTGAAGCAGTATACTGGCTGTTCTAGACGACAACATCCACCTGGGGTAATGATGGTGACCATCATCCCTATCAGATAGATCAGATTATGAAATACATCCCCTAGCAGCTTCGTCCTCATTCAACAGCAGGAAATCACGTTTTGGCTCCCACAAATATCAGGGGAAATTCGTGTAAATGTCCTGCAAACAGAGTGAACCAAACAACCGCTAAACGGGTGCCGGTGATCCCTGTGTTTGACAACCACGTATCAACCATCCGAGCAATGGATGGTTGATGGTTCTGCATAGCAGGGTTGCTCCAAACACCCCAAACACCCCAGGTGCAAGGAGGGTAAATTAGGTAAATTTGGAAGTAAAATGACATCACCCCCCAAACGTGGCTATCATTTATCCGAGCATGGCTTGGAGCAAGCCTGACCTGTTCAAACCATTTCAAACCCATCTTCAATCTGCCCATCTAAACCAGCGACCGTTGAAAAACAAAATCGAGCAACGTTCCCGCCTTGGTCACAGGGTTGTCCATGAGGCTCAAACGTTCCAAGTTCACCAGCTTGGTCACGGGTTCCAAGTCAACAAGCCTTGGGAGCTGAACATCTGGTCCATCGAAATGTTCCGAACTTTTTGGGTCAAAATCCCAACGGTTTGTGGGAAAATGTGGAGAAATCCCAAGCTTTCAGAAGAAAATATGGAAAAATCCAATTTTTTACGGGAAGATATGAGAGAATCATCGAACTAATGGGTGATATGGAAATTCCCAGGATAAATTTCGGGCAGGAGAGATACCATGGGTTGGGAAATTCCAAGAACTGGGTCTGGAAAGTCCTTGAAGTCAGCTGATTTTGGCTCATCCCAACTTCGGATATTGCATAAATACGCAAAAAAGATCAAAAAAGAGTATAGCACACAAACACCTACAAATTTGGTTTAGTCGTCCCTCCTAGCACCTGGTGTTCATCCCATTGTACTGCCAAGATGCTTCTCAAGTTTGTTGCCTGGCAAAATGAGTGGCCCCCATCATTTCCCGAGGAAAGTTCAAGACAATCCATATCACATATTTCCTGACACTTCTCTACTTAGAAATAGTGTTGTTTCAAGCGTCCGCCATTGCCCCGGTCATGCAGGTGATGCTTGAAACCGCCTCCCCCCAACAAGGAAAATCTGTTGGTAGACGGGCAGCATCAGTGTCTGTACCAGGGCGTGAAACTTAGATCTGTCATTGTCTTCCAAGTGCCCTCTAGTAGTCAAGCATTCCGTTTGCAAAAGCAGTTGAACTTGTATACTCATCTGAATCGCGATATAATTGGTGAGTAACTATCGGCGTAGCATTTTATATCTATATATATATACTTATAGATCCGACATCCCCAGGTCTTCACGACCTTTCGCTCACCCTATTGATTGGCCACTTCAGAACATGAATGCTCATCTAAGAAATCAAAGAAGTGTGGTTCTTCCAAACAGCAGGAACTTCAGGATATGGTTAAGTCTGAAATAACTACCCTTAAATAACCAGAAATCCGCCCGCACCGAAGGTGCCGAAGCGTTTTTTGTGTGCTTGCGTGAACTGTTAGCAATTGCATTATAGCTTGGGGGGGGGCATTTTTGCTCTAGAATCCTGTGTTTTTGCATATTTTTCAAAAGGGGTCAAAATTCTTGATCTGGGCCAATATAGGCCAAAAATGGGTCAAGATAGGCCCAACATAGGCCCAACATGAGCCTAAGATAGGCTCACATGGGGCCAACATAGCCTCAAATGGGGCCAACATACCCTCATATCGGGCCAAGATAGCCTCATACGGAGCTAAAAAGTGCCCAATAAGTGCACTTCCCGAATCCATTACACTTGGTGCGGGCGGTTTTCGTCGCGAAGCGACCGTGAATAACCATGAATAACCCATAGACATAAACAATCTTTAAAAATCCCATGTTTTCTTCAACACGTTCGACAATGTCAAATACCAGACCTGTGAGGACTAAGCTGACAATGTGCGGGATGGGATCAAAACCTCAGTCCAAGCTATTGAAAACACTCGGTACCTGAGATTCACTGGTGAATCTTGTTTTTCACTCGGAATTTACAATGAAAATACCCATGTTGATATGGAACTGCACTTTATTTAACCAATGATTCGGAGATAATCATGTTGGAGTGTTGGATAGTCGAACAAGTAAATGGGTGTTTCTGTTGGGGTCAGAAACCAACAAACCTTTCACTGGGGCATCATTTTCGGGGAATCACTGAATTTGGGTATTGTAATGACCAGAGATCGCGGACCATTTGGGTAGTGGGACATCATGGAACACCATGGCTGGGTTGCCAGGAAGTGCATCCCCATTTTTCTTGGTGTCACACACCTTTTTTTCATGGGCTTTGGTTTTGATGGATTCATTTAGTCCCCATTTTTGGGAGATCAACTATAACAATATAACCTTATAAATGGGGGGGGTTATGGTTATAAATATCACCTAAGCACAACAGGATGTCTGGTCTGCCGGTCTGCCGGTCTGCCCTGCTAAGACAGCGACAGTCAGGTGAAATTCGGCTGATCCTGCGCCAATCCCCCTGCTGATAACTGGTTACCCTCTGGTGATCAAAAAAGAAACTATGGAAAACCACAATGTTCAATGGGTATACGGTATATCAAAAAACTAAATGGGCCATGTTACAATGTTCCATAACTATGTAAGAAATTACCGGGTCAGATTCGCCCAAGAATAGTTAAGGTGGTTGTTGGTAGTTTAGATTCACCCAATTCATCCAAACATGTTTGGAAAACGGTTCATTAAGGGCGAATCTCAACCACCAAGAACCACGTTCATGATAGCATATCTTAAGCTGAGAACTTGCGAACTTCCATACGGGTTTGTCTGAAAATAAGGTACCCCAATATGCAATGATTAATCAATGTCCCTATTTCAATTGCCATTTTGGTGGTATACCCCTTCCAGGCAAGCCACAACTTCATGCCTGATAGTGGTGGCTAATCTCAGGCAGTATGTACCCAGTATTCTGAACTACCCACCTACCCACGGTGGACATGAATCAACAAACATGGGAATGGTTCGTGGTTTCAACCCGCCCCTGCGACATCTTCTATACTAAATCTAGGGACAAAAAAAAATAGAGTAATATATATATATATGGTCATATATACAGTATATATATATGGTCATATATACAGTGTATATATATATGCATCATTATATGTCACTATTTTAGTGGCAATTTACTTCTCTATCTTTTTGAGGGTTAGTATATACTTAGGCCATTTGGATTGGGTCAAAGCCTTCTCTCATCCACCAAAGTGCCAGTCTTACGCATCAACAGACGTAGCGAGCTATTGGAAAGTCGGAACCACTTGACTTTGGGGGTTTGTAGAATACTTCACAGTATAGCCCTATGACTACAAATTAAGTCGGAATTGTGTCGGTAAAAATGATCAAAACGCTAATCTGGGGAGTGGACAAATCTCTGGGACAAAAACATCCCAGGACAAGTGTGCAAAAAGTATCAGTACCGTCAGTTTGTACCAAGGTTTGGAATCACATCCCAGGGGCCTATTGTTGGCGAGCATCAGCACACGTAGCCTCCCATCGGGCGGAATTCATGGATGAATCGCGTAGGATTTCATGGATCTGATGATTTGTCTAGATATTCCAATGACATAATTTATATATATATATATATACGCGCAACGCCTGGGCTTTTCCCATTCCCAAACAAATGTTGATGCAACTTCACAAAATTCCTATGGGAAAAGCAACAAACGTACTAGGGAATATTAAACTCCCACCCCCGTTAAACCTTAAATTCCTATCGGAAAAACAACAAAGGTACTAGGGGATATTAAATTCCCACCTCCGTTAAGCTTCTACATTCATTGAAGATCTTCAATAAGGGTTCAATTCTCCCACCCCCGTTAAACTTCTACATTCATTGAAGATCTTCAATAGGGGTTTAATTCTCCCACCCCCGTTAAACTTCTAGATTCATTGAGGATCTTCAATAAGGGATTAATTCTCCCACCCCCGTTAAATTTCTACATTCATTGAAGATCTTCAATAATGGTTTAATTCTCCCACCCCCGTTAAACTTCTACATTCATTGAAGATCTTCAATAAGGGTTTAATTCTCCCACCCCCGTTAAACTTCTACATTCATTGAAGATTTCAATAAGGGTTTAATTCTCCCACCCCCGTTAAGCTTCTACATTCATTGAAGATCTTCAATAAGGGTTTAATTCTCCCACCCCCGTTAAGCTTCTACATTCATTGAAGATCTTCAATAAGGGTTTAATTCTCCCACCCCCGGTAAACTTCTACATTCATTGAAGATCTTCAATAGGGTTTAATTATCCCACCCCCGTTAAGCTTCTACATTCATTGAAGATCTTCAATGAGGGTTTAATTCTCCCACTCCCGGTAAACTTCTACATTCATTGAAGATCTTCAATAATGGTTTAATTCTCCCACCCCCGTTAAACTTCTACATTCATTGAAGATCTTCAATAAGGGTTTAATTCTCCCACCCCCGTTAAACTTCTACATTTATTGAAGATATTCAATAAGGGTCTAATTCTCCCACCCCCGTTAAGCTTCTACATTCATTGAAGATCTTCAATGAGGGTTTAATTCTCCCACCCCCGTTAAGCTTCTACATTCATTGAAGATCTTCAATGAGGGTTTAATTCTCCTACCCCCGGTAAACTTCTACGTTCATTGAAGATCTTCAAAAAGGGTTTGCTGATGATGATGATGATGATGATGATGGTGATGATGATGATGATGATGATAATGGTGATGATGATGCGTCGCCTGTCGTCATTGCGGGTCCGGGCAAAGCCCAGGCATTTGCCGTATATATCTCTGCGTTTTTTGAAACATTTTTACACTTATTTGAATGGGGAAAACGGTGATATCCTCCGGTTCTTTTCCGTTCGGAAACTGATCTACTCGCAGTGTTGATTTCAATGGGAGATCTCCAGGATCCAATACATGGAGGTACTGTACCATATTGTTGGCCATATTTTGGGGGTATATCCCCTTACATAGCCCTGAAAAATAGGCCTTATATATGGTAGGTACCTCCAAGTTGGGTTCCTGGAATGGCCATTGATGATTCCGACACCCCTAAAGTTGCCATCATCTACCTAGGTTGGTGCAACTGTGATGGATCAAAGCCCTGCAAGGTGGTGGGGGCAGTTCGGTTTCCACCAGTTTCTCTGATTTTTTTGGCAGCCAAATCTCAGGGTTACCTTGCATGTATCCCATTGTTTGATGGCCAGTTATAAGATTTATATTTAGATACTATTTAATTTAATGTGTATATATATAATTAAATATATGATTATGCATTTAATTGTACATACATACATATATATATGTGAGTTTATGCATTTATGTACATATGTATGTATATACATACATACATACATACATACATACATACATACACATACACATACACATACACATACACATACACATACACATACACATACACATACACATACACATACACATACACATACACATACACATACACATACACATACATACATTACATTACATTACATTACATTACATTACATTACATTACATTACATTACATTACATTACATACATACATACAATAAGGCACAAAGCTGTCATGCTCTGACACTGATGGGACCCCAGAGCCGTGACCTCTTGAGCGGAGGAAAGTTTCCTAACTTGATCAAGTCGTTGTCCGACAAGTCTAAGCACCTCGGCTGACGTTCAGCCATGGCTTCGATGGATTTGTTTGGTTGGGGGGATTTGCTCACAAAAAAAACACAAAAAAAACACAATGGTCTGAGGGCACATTTCATCATGGCATGGTGCCCTGACTCAAAGTCTTGACCCTTACCCTTACAGAATTGCCCAAAGGGAACCGTCCACTCTTGCGCAGGAGTGGCGACAACATCCTGGAAAAACCGTCCTTTC